GCTGATGTGGCGTCAGAGCAGCCTGGTGATCTTTCCTTAAGTAAATGAATCAATGGGTGTTTTTGGTGGGTGGGAACTGTCTACTAAAGAAAAATATATAATAAATGAGGGATGGGAGAGAGCAGACTAGCAGGAGCCATGTTCTAGACTAGGCAGAAGCCAGGCTCTGGTGCTGGCCTTAGCTAGGAGTATGGACCATTCATCCATGGTAGCAGGGAGGGCCGTGGAGGCAGAGGGAGGGAGCTCAAAGACCTTTTTTTTTTTTTTTTTGCTAACGGTGCATATACTTGCCAGTGAGAGACAGAGATGGGGGCAGTGTGGGGCAGGGAGGAGAAAGCACCCCTTACTGGGAATGGTCATGCCACAGTCCCTCCAGCTTCCCTGTTTTTGAGATTTGGGGCACATACATTTGTGTTCAACGTGCCAGGTGCAGGCCTTGAACCAAACGATTGGCCATATGGGATCTGGCTGCCTCAACCACCAGACCACAGAGCCAGCCCAGAGACCTCTTAACTTTCTCAGTGAAATAGGAAGCGGGTTCATCAGCAGAAAGTGGGAGGGGGGAGAATGTGTTGGAGGTGTGAGGAGCGAGGAGAGGGTAGAAGATCTGGGAGTGTGCGAGAGTGAGTGGGCCAGCGAAAGACAGTAGGATGGCCAGGCAGTAGGAGAGTGTGCCTGAAGTCTGAGACCACGAGGCCGTGTGAGCTGCAGGTACATTTGGGCCAGGGCTCAGGCACACAGGAGGCAGAGAGGGAGTGCAGATGTAAACAGGTTGGCATTTTCCCAGTGACTGTGATTGAAGCAGAGAAGGTGGGGGTGCTGGTTGAGAGGGCTTCGAGAGCCGCAGACTGGGCAAGGAGGCAGACAGGTGCATGTAAGAGGGGAAGGAGAGTGGGGAGGAGCTGGCACCAATGGTTGGAGTTCCTGCAGGGGTGAGGAACTTGGAGTCAGCGGGAGACAGAGTGAGGTGGGAAGATGAATGCGTGGCCACATGCTTTAGCCTCCTCTAGTGGTTTTCCATCAACACCTACAATCCAAAATGTCCAGGGAAACGCCAACCACAGAGAGGAAGGAAAATTGACCATGTTACTATCTGGTGCCTACAGCGGGGTAGACACCAATGGACTCCAGTAGCCCGAGTCAATGTCCTAGGGATTACACACAGATGTTTGCATGCTTCGACTTCATGCTCACCATGGAATGTCTAACCATGACTTCATATGGGGATGTGTACATGCGTGAGTGCCCAAATCCTGACAAGATGGAGAAGCGGAGGAGATTTGCACATGTTCCCTCCTAGGACTGACCCCACAGCGCAGTGGTTGAGCACAGTGTATTGGGAATCAGATCCCAAAGGCCAACTGTGGTTTGAAACCCAGCCCCAGTGGCTTGAAAACCATGCTGGGCATGTGTGCATGGGCTAACTCCTTTCAGGGAATGGGGAGCTAGATTGTAGGGCTGCTACCTCGGTGTTACCACCAGGTCTGTTCCTCACCTTATAGCTGACGTAGGCATCTCGCTGCCCAGTGGTGGTGACGGTCTACCAGTGTCCTCATAAGGAAGGTACATTCCCCATACTGATGGGCTTCTGATAAGATCCAAGGTCATGTTCTAGTCACTGATAATCACCTCACCAGAACTGTGACTTCCTGGTACACTTCCCTGACACCCCTCCCACCCTTCCTCAGTCCTCCCTTGCTGACACTCCCAACCAGCAGTGCGAGGGAAGATGGGTACAGGGGTGGGGCAGGTGGTTCCAGCAGAATGAGATTGTGAGCAGGAAGTGGGCTGCTCTGGGAGGAGTGCTGTGAAATCGCACACGCACGTGCATGCACAGACTCGCAACTTCCACCATGGCCCGGCCCTCCACCTCCCCAGCTCTTTAGGCATCTTGGGGTCAGCTGATGGGTTGTGGCCTAGCTGGGCAGAGTTATGGCAGGCTAGGCCATGGGAGGGTGGGAGGAATCACAGCTTGAGCCCCAGCCTGGGGATCTCGGTGAGGTCTGGAAGAGGCTCAGTACTTGTCTCCATCAAACTTTTCACATGCTGGGCCATCCACATGGACAGTCTTGGGTTTGCCTTCTCCACATGCTGAATCCCTTTAGTGCTTCGAGGAGCTCCTCACATGTTCCCTGGCTGTATAGCATGGTGGTTAAGCACAATATGCTGGGAGCCAGATTCCACGCAGCCAACCATGGTTTGAGACCCGATCTCAGTGGCTTGAAAAACACACTGGATGTGTATATGTGCATGAGAGCTCCAGATCCTGACAAGAGGGGGAATGGAGGAGGAGGGTTGAGCATGATCGTGCCCCCACTGGGGAATGCTTTCTTTCTGTCTCTGGCAAGTGCACAGCCACTCTGGTTTAAAAAAAAAAAAAGTTTCCTCCTAGACAAATCGCTCATTCCTCCCACTGGGAGCACAGTGGTCCTCCACTACAGGGCACTTGCATGGTTGATCCCAAAGCCTGTCTGCCCCACTGGACTCGGCTAGAATCCGGCATCGATTCTCTGGCACAGAGCTGTATGAATGAACAATGTGAAGGAATGAATAAACAAATGGATGGACAGATTCCATATAAGGCCAGGGGATAGTAGAGGAAGTCACTTTGCCAGGGAAGTGTGGGCTTCCCTGCTATATCCTGTGGAAGTCTCTCGGGGACTATAAACTGGGAATCCTTTCAGGATAAACATGGAGAATTCTTCTGGTTCCCCTTCTTCCTTTAGTATTAGACCTTGTGGGGTGTGTGTGTGTGTGTGTGTGTTTAAGAATGATCTAACTTTACTTATTATTTTTTAATTTGACCAGAGAGAGAGAGAGAGAGGAAAGGTGAGAAAGCAAGCTGCCAGGTTCGAGATTCAAACCACAGTCGGTCATATGGGAGTACAGCACCCTAACCACCATGCTAAAGTGGGCGTGCTGGGTGATCAGACCCAACACCCGACTCGGTTCTTGTCCTATGCTCATGAAGAATTAAGAGACATGGACACAGAGAGGAGAGGAAAGTAGAGTTAGGGAAGCAGAAAAAGCTTTCAATGCAGTGGAAGTGGGCTGAATGGGTCGCCCAAGAGGAGCTGGACAAGGGGTTTTTATCTAGCAGTCCGAGCAATGGGCTGCTTTCTGGTAAGGAAGTGGGCTTTAGAAAATGATTACATGTGGGGCTGGCAGGTAGTGTGGTGGTTAAAGGTGCTGTGGATGCTTACATGGCCGACTGCGGTTCATATCCTGGACCGTGTGACTTGCTTTCTCGCTTTCCCTTTCTCTTTCTCTCTCTGGTGAAATTGAAAAAATAATAATAATAAATGGAATTAAGAGACCAGTAGTTGGTATAATGGGTATGTCGCTGGACTTCCATGTAGTTGACCGCGGTTCGAGTCCCGGACCCAGTGTATTAAACTCACACCAGGCGTGTGTGCGTGCGTGCCCAAGATCCTGAGAGGAGAGTGGAGAAGGGATTGCGGCATGGCCATCCCCCCTGGGGAGTAATTTCTCGCTTTCTATCTCTCTGTCTCTCTCTTTCTAGCACCCTATAGCAAAAACCTCTGAAAAAATGTAATTAAATAAACAATTCTTTACCAAAGAAATGGTTACATGGTAGTCTGAGTGATTTATTACCCTATTCTTTGTGTGGTCCACAGACCTTAGTGTCCTGTACTTCTGGTGAGAATACAGTTACTGAATAGAAACTGTTGCCCTGAGCTAAGCTGCTTTGAGTCTCAATGCAGCCAGTTTTTGGCTGTGAAAATTTAGCCACTGTGACCCCATCTTGGATCTTATCCTGTCTGTGTGCTCAATATCCCTATCTCTTGCATTATTAATAAGAAATCATAAATTCTTTAGAAACATATAAAAGGGGTATATATTGTACATTAATCAGACCATAAAGGACAAACACAGGACTTCACTAAAAAGTAAAACATAAAGACTTCTTTTTGGGATCCTTACCCTATCTACCTATAAGTGGGGTTTAACTCCTTTCTCTCTCTCTTTTTTTTTTTTTTTTTTGAAGAGGCTTTTTGCTATAGTGCGCGTGCACTCACCAGAAAGACAGAGACAGAGAGACAGCAACAAATCACCCCCCAGAGGGGATGGCCACGCCGTAATCCCTTCTCCTACATTCTCCTCACGGGATTTTGGGCACGCATGCACACGCGCCTGGTGTGAGTTTAAAGCCATCGGGTCCAGGACTCGAACCATGGTTAGCTACATGGGAGTTTAGTGACATAGCCATTATGCCAACTGCTGGTCTCCTAACTCCTTTCTCAATGCCGCCTGCTGGCTCCTGGGCTCTGGGCTTTCAGGGATCAGAGGAGGGAGGAGTGGCTACAATTTACTGAGCTCTAACTATGTGCCAGACACTGTGCCAGATATTTCTACAGATGCCATCTTGTTTATTGAAAATAACACCAGTTTCAGGCAGTAGGTTTTATTATCCCCATTTTACAGGCTAAGAAAACAGGTATGGAGAAGCTAAGTGAATTGCATGAAGTCACACAACTTATCTCTAGCAGGGTGATATCTGAGCTATTAATAAAAACCTGCTCAAGCACGCAGGGCTGGATGTGCTAGAGATCAAATGGCACTGAGGGAGACGGAGGCGGTGGTCATGGGCAGAAGGCACAGCCCTGCACTGGACAGAGGAGCTCTGAGGCCCATTCCTGGCTTGGCCTCCGTTTCACGGCAGACCTGGACAACACCCTTCACTGGGTGGACTCTGCCCTTGAAAGTCTTGTTCCGGTGACTGATGGAAAATGTGGTAGATGTGCACTGCTCCAAGCTCTCTCTGGGATGTTCTCTCACTCTCCCAGCCAGCTGAAGATCAAAGGGCAGCGCCACCCCTGGGCTAATGGTTAACCAGACAGGGCACCCCATCTATAAGGAAGCCCTAACCAGGGGCCCCCAGCTGGCCAGTATTCCACAAGATGCAGTGGGTGAAGGTGCTGGGGCTGGGCTTAGGGGGTGCTGCTCTCCTGGGGCTGGGGATCATCCTGGGTCACTTTGCCATCCCCAAAGGGACTGACTCACCAGCCCCCAGCATCTCAGCACCCCAGGACCTGGACCTGGAGATCCTTAAGACCATCATGGGACAACTGGAGGCCAGCAGGATCCGGGAGAACCTCAGGTAAGAGGCAGGTCTACCTGGTCCTCCTGTTTGTCAGAGACACTTCCTTAACGTCCTGTCCCTCTCCCTGCCTACCTGCAGAGAACTCTCTAGTGAGCCACACCTGGCCACCAGCCTCCGGGATGAGGCACTGGTGCAGCTGCTGCTGCAGCGCTGGAGGGACCCAGTATCAGGCTTGGATGTGGCCGAGGCCTCTGAGTATGAGGTGCTGCTGTCCTTCCCTAGCCAGGAGCAGCCCAACATAGTGGAAGTCGGTGAGGTCTTGCCCAGGCTTGGGAATACCTGGGGGGAGGGAGTAGCTGCGGGGCCCAGCCCTGACACTGACCCACCTTCCACAGTGGACCCCACGGGGAATGTCCTCCACTCCTGCCTCCAGAACGAGGAGAACATAACCGGGGAGCAGGCAGGGCCTGATGTGGTGCCACCTTATGCTGCCTATGCTCCCCCTGGAACTCCACAGGTGGGCTTGGGACCACCCCCAGACCTGACCCAGAGGCATCTGAGGAGAAGTGTCTCCACAGGGCTCAGGGGCTCAGCAGTCCTCACCCAAATGGATTAATCTCCACACTTGGTCACTGCTCGTTTCCTCCATCACTTAGTTTTTCAGCAAACATTAGTGGCTTCGCTCAAGGCCAAGCCTATTACCAAGCACCCAGACACAGAGGAAACGAGGGGGCGATGTCCTTGGGGAGCTTACAAGCTCTGGGTGAAGTAGTACTGAACCTAAACCTCTCCTCCTGCCTCCCAGCTTACCTACCCCTCTCCCCACTGCCCTCTGCTAAGTCCAGCTCTAAGGCTCCTCTCCTCTTGGCACTAGGGCCTCCTTGTCTATGCCAACCGGGGCACAGAAGAAGACTTTAAGGAGCTACAGGCTCAGGGCATCAGACTTGAAGGCACCATTGCCCTGACTCGCTACGGGGGTGCGGGGCGAGGAGCCAAGGTGAGCAGCAGACCCATGCAGGGGCCTTGGTGGGGAGGGAGGCTGGACTGTAAACAGGACACAATGAGAGCAGGGGAAGGGGAGGGACTGAGGGGCTGAGTGGTGGACTGAGCCCTGGGTCTGGGGCAGGAGAGGGGAGCTGTACTCCTGCTGTACCACCACCGCTGGACTATGTGGCTTTGGATGCCTCCCCCAGCCTCTCTGGGCCTTAGGAAACAAAAAGATGGATGCTATTTTCAGCCCTGATATTCTGGGAAACTGTGAAGTAGTTCTTCTGAATATTTAACTTAAATCCCACTTGCTGCCCCCAACTCCACTGTTTCTTTTTTTTATTTAATCTTTTTTTTTTTTTTCTGGAGAGGTTTTTGCTATAGGGCGCGTGCGCTCGCCAGACAGACAGACAGAGACAGAGAGAGAGAAAGCGAGAAATCACCTCCCGGGGGGATGGCCACGCTGCAATCCCTTCTCCTCCGTTTTCCTCTTGGGATCTTGGGCACGCATGCACACGTGCCCAGCATGAGTTTTAAGCCACCGGGTCTGGGACGCAAACCGCGGTCAGCTACATGGGAGTCCAGTGACATAGCCATTATGCTAACTGGTCCCACTCCACCATTTCTTGTCAATAAAAAATTTTGACTAGGTATTATACATACTTTTTTTTTTTAATAAAAAGATATATATAGAATGGGAAGGGAGAATGGAGAGTTAGTATTTAATGGATACGGAGTTTCAGATTTGCAAGATCAAAATTCTGGAGATAGGGGCCAGCAGGTGGCATAGTGGTTAGGGCACTGGATTCCCACGTGGTCAACTGTGGTTCAAATCCTGGACCTGGCAGCTTGAAACTCATGCTGGGCACATGTTTGTGCATGCCCCAAATCCTGAGAGGAGAATAGAGAAGGAACTGTGGCGTGGCCATCCCCCTGGAGGGTGATTTCTTGCTTTCTGTCTCTCTGGCAAGCGCACATGCCCTAAAGCAAAAAACTCTCTTAAAAAAATTTTGGAGTTAGTTGGTGGTTAATGGTGGCTCAATAATGTACTTAATACCACTGAACCCCATCATATGTCAAGGAGCATGCGAATTTAGGTGAAAAAAGCACAGCTCAGAACCAAGGGAATAGGATGCTGTTTTGTGTACAAAGGCTGTGTGTGGGGGGCGGGCAGGAGGAATGGTAAGAACATATATTTGTGTATGCTTTTCCCAAATGCAAACCCTGGAGAGATACCCGATATACTTAAAAAAAAAAAAAAAAAAAGTGTTTTTGGAGGATGACATTACAGGAGTACTTTTTCATTCTACATCCTTTAAAAAAAAAAAAAAAGAAAAAAGAAAACCTGGAGGTGTGGGGTCAGCAGGTGGCATGGTAGTTGGGGATGCTGGACTCCCAAGTGGCTGACCACAGTTCAACTCCTGGACCTGGCAGCTTGTTTTCTCACTTTCTCTCTCTCTCTTTCTCTCTTTCTCTTTCTCTGTCCTTCTCTGGTCAAATTTAAATAAATAAATAAATAAACAAAGTTAAATAAAAAACCTGGGGACTTGCTTTGCTGGTCTCTCTCTCTCTCTGTGTGTCCCTCTCTGATCAAATTAAAATAAATAAATAAATAAAGTTACATAAAAAACAAACAACAACGACAACAACAAGGGGGCCAGCAGGTGACATGGTGGTTAAGGAGCTGGACTCCCACATGGCCGACCATGGTTCAAGTCCCAGACCTGGCAATTTGCTTTCCCGCTTTCTCTCTCTTTCTCTCTCTCTCTTGCTCTGTCCCTCTCTGGTCAAATTAAAACAAATAAAACAAACAAAGTTACATAAAAATACATCTTTTTAAAAAAGAATTATTTATTCATTTAATTCCATTTGTTATTATTTTTTAATTTGACCAGAAAGAGGCAAAAACAGAGAGAGAGAAAGTGAGAAAGTAAGCCTCCAGGTCCAGGACTCGAACTGCAGTCAGCCATGTGGGAATCCAGCTCCTTTAACCACTATGCCCCTGCGAGCCCAGACTCTACATCTTTTTTTTTTTTTTTTTATTAAAACTTGAAATTTGGGACCAGCTGATGGTGTAATGGTTACTTCACTGGACTCCCACATAGTCAACAGCAGTTTGAGTCTGGGACCCAGTGGCTTAAAACTCACTCCCAGTGTGTGTGCGTGCATGCCCAAGACCCCAAGAGGAGAATGGAGGAGAAGGGATTGTGACATAGCCATTTCCCTTGGGGTTTATTTCTCTCTTTCTGCCTCTCTGACTAGGGCATGTACCCTATAGCAAAGATCTCTCTAAAAAAAAAGAAAGAAAGAAAAGAACACTTGACATTTTATGAAGCGTATTATTTCCACTATGTTTGTTGCCCTTTTTATTCTTTTTTCCTCCTCTTTCTTCCCCCACTCTCTTTTTCCCTCTCTTCCTTTTTTTCTTTTTTTCCTAGTTTTCGTCTTGGGCACTTTATTGTTATTATTAGTATTATTATTATGCAATTTTATAGGGTACATGTACTTGAGATAGCCAAAGAGATAGAGAGAAAAAAGAGTGAGGAAGCATCGTCCATGGGGGATGACCTTGCCACGGTCCCTTCTCCTCTCAGGATTTTGGGTATGCATGCAACAGCAACGATGTGTTTTTGAAGCTACCAGATCTGGGACTCAAACCATTCCGTTGACTATGTGAGATCCAGTCACTTTAAACCACCAAGACACCTGGCTGGCCACTTCTTGGGTACATTTTAGTAAAATATACCTACCATAAAAAAAATTTTAAAGAATTATTTTATTTAACTTTATTTATTTATTTAAATTATTTGGAGAGGTTTTTGCTATAGAGCACGTGGACTTGCCAGAAAGACAGAGACAGGAGACAGAAAGCGAGAAATCACCCCCCAGGGGGATGGCCACACCACAATCCCTTCTCCTCCATTCTCCTCTTGGGATCTTGGGCATGCATGTACATGCGCCCGGTGTGAGTTTAAGCCACCGGGCCCGGGACTCGAACCACGGTCGACTACATGGTAGTTCAGCGACATAGCCGTTACACCAACTGCTGGTCCCTATTTATTTATTTTAATTTGGTCAGAGAGAGACAGAGTGTGAGTGGGAGAGAGAGAAAAAGCAAGCCACCAGGTCCAGGACTTGAACCACAGTCAGCCATGTGGGAGTCCAGCACCTTAACCACCATACCACCTGCTGGGCCCCTTACCATAAAATTTACCATCTTAACCATTTTTTAGTGTGTAAAGCAGTGACATTAAATAAAGTTACAGTATCAACCAACAATACTATCCATTTCTCGAAGCTTTTCATTATTTCAAACAGAAATTTTATCCATATAGCAATATCTCCCCTCTACCTCCCTTTCTGACCCCAGCCCATGGTGACCTCTGTTCTACTTTCTATGAATTTGCCTATTCTAGGTATCTAATGTAAGTGGAACCATAAAATATTTGTCCTTCATGTCTGGCTTATTTCACTTATCATAATTTCTTCAAGATTCCTGGATTTATATCAGAGTTTTATTACCTTTTAAGGCTGATTGACATTCCACTGTATGCTATACATCCCACGTTGTTTATCCCTTTATCTGCTGATGGACAGACACACTGTCTACGGTGAATAATGCTGCTGTGAACCTGGGTGTACAAGCAGGTCCTTATTCTTTTTTTTTTTTTTTTTAGCTTTTTTTTTCTTTAATTTTAAAAATTATTTTGTTTAACTTTATTTACTTATGTTAATTTCACCAGAGAGGGACAGAGAGAGAGAGAAAGTGAGAAAGCAAGTCACCAGGTCCAGGACTTGAACTAAGGTCAGCCATGAGGGAGTCCAGTGCCCTTAGCCACCACACCACCTGCTGGCCCCCTTTTTTTTAAATTAATTAATTAATTAATTTTTTTTATAGAGGGTTTTGCTACAGGGCACGTGTGCTCTCCAGAAAGACAGAGAGGCAGAAAGTGAGAAATCAACCCCCCACACACCCCCAGAGGGGATGACCACGCCACTGTCCCTTCTCCTTCATTCTCCTCCCGGGATCTTGGGAACGCACTCACACATGCCCGGTGTGAGTTTAAGCCACTGGGTCTGGGA